GTATAATAAAATACTCGTGAAAGCGAAAGGGTTGAAATTGCGGAGAGAAAGTAACGCGTGTACGCGAAACAATTCGATTTAATCCCGTTCGATCGTATTATGCGCGTACATGTATGAAAAGTATCATGTAGCGAGAGGCAAGTTCCTGTCAAAACCAAACACTGAAAATCGAAGCCAGACGCATGGGGTGGATTCAATAGGGGCCTTCGTACATCCAATTATCGGCTTCCTTATAAGATCACATTGTATGAATTATACATTGTATCGACGAGTGGCTAGAAAGCTCATGCTTCGTTTAACAATGGGCCATCGAAAAATATAATACGTCGCCCACGATAATTTAATTTCTTCTTTCTTTCTTTCTTTTTTTTTTTTTTTTTCTATCCGAGTCGCCGTCGCTTAAGAATCGTTAAGGTTTTTTATTCGTGATGTTCGCAGCCTATAGTCTATCGATTTACATATCTACTCGGTCGGTATAATCGATCAAAATATATAACCGGTTGTTGACACTTGCATAGTTCATAGATCATCAGCTTCTTCGATAAAAAAATTTTAATCCATTTGTTCAATACCTTTTAAAGATAATTTGAAATCAACCGGGTAAATTTAAATTGAAAAAAAGGGCAAATATTTAACGCGCCTCGACCCTTTTAAAATAATTTGAAATCGACCAAGTAGAATTAAAGTTATTATTCCCACCGCGACTAACGCAAAATCAATCGATTTTATACCCGATTTTCAACGAAATTCCAAATTTCGAATTCCCTCAACCGCACCTATTTGCATACGCGAATCCCGAAATGTTGAATTGGCTAATATTCCAAGTTCATTTCGTGTCGTAAATTTGGACGGGAAAGCTATTTTTACTTAAAATATCTGATGAGTTTCCACTGGCATCGTATTATAACTCTAAGAAGAACGATTGCTATTCGACGGCTGTCGGCCGGCAATTGGTACATCCTAGCAAAGATAAGAAGAGATGAAACAAAGGGGGTAAGCACGGTTTTAAAACTAATCTGATTATCCGGTCAATCTTCTCCTCGAAATTAGAACCAGTCTTTCTTTTTACGATCGAAACTCCCAACTCCTAACGATTCGCGCCAACCAAAATTCCCCTCCCCCCTCCCCCTCGTTCACCGTTTGAAATTGAATCCCACCCCCGATGTTCGATTCGCAACGAAATAGCCGGTGTATAACCTTCTGACATTCTTCGACGCGTAATCCCCTTGATGCACGATCTCGAGTTTGGAGCAACATTCGTCATATTATCCGACACGATCCAAAACTTGTTACGAACTTATCCACGATACGGGCTCTTTCGTTCCCTTTCCTTGATTGGCCTTCCAAGCCTTTCGATTTGTCATGGAATCGAAACTACACCCTTCGAAAATTGTATATCGTGATATAAGACAAGATTGTTCCAATTTAGATTTGCTATGCATATATACATATGTAAACTGAGACGAGAGTTTATCGATCGCTTAAATTTTACGTTACGTTTCGACGAATTTCGAACGAGCGTCGAAAATTTGATATCTCGTTCCTCGTTCCCTCAAAATTAACCCGCGCGGAACGAAAACTGACGATTTTGCACGCGTTCGAGGAATGACGAGAACGGGGGGGCTCTCTCGTGGAACGCGATCATTGATTGAACATACGAGAAGAGGATTTTACGGGGCGTGGTGTATCAAAGTACAGGGTGGAAATCTGATTATGCGATACAGGAATGGATCGATCGTTCGACCGGTATCACTTTTGAAATGAGCGCGGTTAACGTTTCCACGGTTAATGCCACAATTTTTCACGCTTAAGCTCGTTGATCGTTCGACGAATCGAACTAGCCAAGATTGATGTACTCGCCTATGAAAGGAAGGATCGTTCGAATATCGAGCCGAGAATTAGAGCGATTAGATTAATCTGAAATACCATAATAATGAGTGAATAATGAGTAAAATTGAGATCGGTTGTTTAAAATTAATGTTTAGCGATCGGCGATCGGATACAGGCGCAATTTCGCCTGTAAGTATTCGATTATGATTTGCAAAACGCGTACCCTGTTGCCGGCATTCATGATTTTCGCGTGCTCCGCGAGGACGACGTGCAAACGCGCGGCCGTATTCACTGAATCGTTAATATTTTCGCGACGCCATTATGCACAATTATTCCACAATTGCGCCCAATTTCTATCACTACAGGCAACCACGTCCAAGTACTCGGATATTACGTAACGACACATCGGCGTGTTGCCTATTAATATTTTGCGCTTGTCATCGAAATTCAATTTCCGGCCAGTGGTCGACGTTCACCGAGAACTCTAATTCAGTGTCTGTGGTCGCGTCAATCAACCATGCCATCCCCCGGGCTAACTAGTTAGAAATAATTAACGGTTTTGCGAGCTACCCTATATATGTATAAATCGTATTCATCCGATGAAACATCGTCACTCGAACGACCCAATTTCCATGGCCCGATTATTTTCTTAACTTATCCCCTCGGTTAAATTCTGATTTATCGTGATTCATTATTTATTATATTAAACAGATTCCCGGTGAAATTCTATAACAGGTATCGCGAAGTCAGAAACATCGATGAGCCGTATCGTAATATCGAAAGATTTGTTATGGTTTATTTGATCGTTGGTTTAAAGACAATAAACGGGTCAACATTATGCACAGCGAACGCGGAAATCCCCTAATAATAGCTATGTATAGCCGGTTCTTAATCATTGGAGATTATACACGAATGGTTGGATCGATTCTTCCATGATTTATAGGTTTAATTTAATACCGACATACAATCTAATTAGGTTTTCCAATTTCGATGGACGGGAACGGCTGATTTCGTAAAATCTATTAAAATTCTAAATCTATTAAATATTCGATGAATGGGGAAAAAACAGGGAAGAAAATTAAGGGTCCAACGATAGAATGATTAAAAAAAAAAAAAAAAAAAGAATATTATTGTAAGAAGTTTTTGAACTATATTGCTTATTTTCCCTCTATGTATTCAATTTCTGACGAATATCGGAACGTTCAATCTGTAGGAAACTGAGGCTCCGAGTTCGAAGGAATACATATATATATATATATATATATATATATATATATATATATATATGTACGATATGTATGCGGGATATTTTAATATCTATATCCGACGGCACTGACTCAGAGAGTAACAATCCATGATTTATATATACGCCAGGGAAATATTTGTTACGATATTAAACGCTTTTTCATGTATATATATATATATATATATATATAAAATACTGATATGAATGATTTAAAAACGGAACTTATTAGTCCTTGGTTAATTTAGCGCCGCTCAAGCATGAAGAAATGATCTGAATAACTAATGTTTCAATAAGAATCATTTCAATAATCGGTGATCAATGATGCATTGACACGCGCGTCAACCGATAAATATTCTCGTGGACTAACTCGAAAAACATTGTCATTACCAAGATATCAATTCAACGAACAGAAAATTAAATTAAGAACGTGAAAGCGAGATTAAAATGTCCAAACGAACGTTTAAAGCGAATACGCATTAATGTACTACGTTTGTAATTCATGTGTATCCGATATTTAATTTGGTTTAAATTAAATCGTGATAGAAGTGTTGTAATACGAATTTAAACCAGTGATACCTGTGCATTTAGCAGCGAAGTAGCCCGATTTTTATCGATCAACGTTTCACCATTATTTGGTCGTTACTGATGTAGCTGATACGCGTTAAACTTTATAGTTACGAAAAGTTTTTTGAAACGTGAATTTTTACCAACCAATTCTTTTCTCTGTTCTAAAGGATTAAAAAAAAAAAAAAAAGAATAGAAAAATATGTTCAACTTTAATGTTTAACTTATTTCGATTTACATGTATGATCTATTTCAACAAAATTTTAATTTCACTTGTAAATTTCTCTCATTTGCAAATAAGAAATAAAGTCGCAGAAACAATATTAACTACGATTTCGAAATTCCTTACCGCATAAAGAGCATAATAATAATCCAGTTAACAAAACAACCTGGAAACAGTTAACCTATTTTTGCTCCCGCTTGTAGCGCGGTGATAAATGCTAATATTCTTAATAGCATCCCATACATATTCTCATTAGAACTAAGTTCTCGGGTAATATACCTATTAAATGGTAAGAGTCTGGCTTTACGCTCTTCAATGTTCATTGAACTAACTTAAGAGGCGTAAGACGTTTTTCATGAAGAAGATACAGATATAAAAAAAAAAACGTAACTTCGTTGCTGAAAGACCAAGTATTTTGCAAGTTATGTACGAGAGAATGCCTATATTGAAGAGTAAAGTATTTGCCCTCAACTTTTTTACATCCGTAATCCTCGCCCCAATAACTTTTTAATACCGCTATACAGGTATATACAGGTATCTATGTGTGCACGCAACTTTTAAAACGCGCCAGTAAAATTGTCAGCGCCCCGAAACACATAATTTTTAAGCTTTTACGCTTCCCATCGCGGAAACTTCACGATAGTCTACCAAAAGTCGATATACCGAAAAATATTTACTATTAAAAAAGTTATGGGCTAATAACTAAATTTGATCGATCAATAATGCAATAATAACCAGTATTGATTCATTTTCTAAGTCGTACATTTTATAACCGTTGGCCATTAAGATCGTAACTAATTCTAATCAAACTGCCAACTAACTACACAACTGCAATTTAGTGAAAATTATTTCACACAGACACGATATAATAAGCCCATCAGATTCCTGTAAACGTACATCAAATGTATTTACATCAAAAGCAGCTTTCCTATCAAATATATGTCGATCTACACGTTTGGTTAAATTGAAAGGATTCCGTTACCAATCAAAGCAATGGCTAAGCATTTGTATGACGTGAATCTCTATTGATTGTATGTGAAAGAGTTATTACGATAATAACGAGTTCGATGTTAAAAGGAAAAAATATTTCACAGAACGTATACGTAAATTTAAGGCGTCAGACATGTATTCGCCAACAAGTAATCATTTAGAATTTTTTGATACATATTTCATTAGTCAATACTTATGACGAAGTATGTATACCGAGATATTCCATGCTCGTTTCTTAGTCCATATTTCTGCGACCGGTAGCTACCGGTGATTAATCAAAGAGAAAATTAGTGAGTCCAAATCTTGATTCACCGTGATTCATCATGACGAATGAATATCGGTATAGTGATTATTATAGTGATGTAATTTAGGTCTCTAATCAAGCGTTTTTCCCATTAGCATTTAGTGCATGATTCAATTTTAAAATACCTGAAAATAATATTACGATAAAAAAATCTTTGTATCGTGTTGTTTTAAAATTATAGGTTCGAGGCAAATATTTGTTGCACGGTGTTTATCATATTATACTTACATGAATCTAGTATACATCATACTTACATCATACGTAGCATGTACGTGTAATAAAAGTACTAGTAACATTCTACTAGTCATATAGTCGTTTTGGACGACGACAACGGGTTCGACTGCCTGCCGGTAACATGATTATGTGTACGTGTGTGCTTACACAATAGTTGCCAACTCGATTAGCTGAATCCATAGAAGTGTTCCTCTATCGTGATACAGAAACGGTGGTCTGGTATGGAGATTGCTTGACCGCAAACTAGAACTTCGCTTTAAAGATCTTACTATCCATAACTACTTTAACGATAATGTTAACGTTACCATGATCACCGTTTGTTATAATTCATCCGTACGATAAACCTAATTTTCCGTTCTGACAAAGAAACAAACGTAAAAAGTTTGTACATAACGGTTTGTAACGGTTTACCGGTTTGTCTGACCGAATTATGTTCGATAATTTCTATTGATCGTTTAATAGTTGAACATCGATCGTAACGATTTCTCGAGACAAGAATTAGATTTCAAGATGAAAAAAAAAAAAAATTAATGGAATTCGAAATGAGATTTCGACCGAAAATTTCTCGATTCCCATGTACATGTACTACGAAACTTTAAAATTGTTATTTATCTCGAGTAGAATTTTAAGAAAAAAGGAAATGAATTTACATTTCGTGCTAAAACTCATTGTAAAAAGAACGTAAAACTTTTAAGCGCAGTTAGGAACACCAGTTAGGAGCACACTCCCTGGAGTTTGTATTCTCATCCACATAACATGCATCGAGTCTCCTGGAAGTGGGTACTATCTTACCTGATAAATTCCGGAACTGTGGTTCTCAGTGTACGTCTTCTTAGTATATGCCGTTGCAGCTTCTGTGGTCCCAGACGGCACGCCTTCGACATATCGGTCACGTACGCCATGGTGTAGAATCACATTTGTAAGACCCAGCAACGTTATCGTCGAGTAAACATCGATAGGAAAGCATTGTCATAATGCACATGGTGATACACTTACACGCTTTGTAGTTGCATCTGGTCTAACTGTGTCGGTTGTTTCACAATATCATTATATCTGTGTACGATTCTTCCTTGATCTTGATATAGGTTTAGTTTCTTTTCTTTACTTTCATTTCGTGATAATTTTATTGTAAACATGAATCCTGTAAGCCATAAACCAGTTTCTATAAATGATTTTTTAACATACTTTATAGATTCATGTTTTACAAACGTATAATTTATATTTGAATAGAAAATGTTAATAATTAGAATTTATATTCGAATAGAAAATGTTAATAATTAGAATATTCCTTAAATCGATATTGCAATATACATATACTATGTACATGGCCGCACCTATTCTGATATATCTTTCACTCCTTTCCTTCGAGTCTTTACTGGTAATTCCTTCCTCGACGTGTAACCTCTAGACCGTGAAACGATTTCTTAGGTTTTTGTTTTAATCAGGGTTAATAATTCTTGAACGTGAAATTTTTACTGAAACAGAAACCTGTTTATAAGTTGAGATAAATATTTCAAATTTCTTTTTGCGATTTTTAACGGATCATGTTTTACGATGTAATATTATGGTTATCTAGTTTATTAATAAAACTTTCACAGTAACCTATCATGCAATCAAACCGAATGAGGTTAAGATCGAATTAATATACTCACGTCTATATTGCTTATATTGTCGTAAAAATATATGTTCAATTTTTTCCTTGCATCTTTAATACCGAATACACAATGCATAGAAAAGGTCAATGAAAGTGTGACATGATGTATCAAGAGACAACTATAAGCGTGCCATAGTAGATATACATCTACGAAAGATTTATTTCTACTTGCTACTCGAATATTCAAATATTTATTCTCTCTCTCTTGTCAAAAATCAACTTTCGATATATCGATCATATTGTTATATACTTGTCGTCTCGAAGATAGACATTAATATGGCGATAAATTCAGTATGTTTCATTATATTAAATAATAAGATAAAAATAAAACGAAAATTAGGCAAGAGATTCACAAAAATTAATTTTAAAAGAATCCTCTTTTAAGATAAGAAATTTTAAGACACTTCACTTTCCACAAACCATTTAAATAATCACTTTTAGGTTATACTTTTACATTCGATAGAATGTTTCGTTTATATTAATTCATTTTCACTCAATTTTCAATTCGAAGGAATATTTAATTAGAAGATACAGAAACACATAACCTGTATTTATATAATTGAAAAATAATTTCTAATTTTTTCATCTAAAAACGATTTTTACACTCGGCAATAAAATTCTCTCACTAACAAAAAAACTGTTGTCGAAAAAAGTATAAATGTACATTAATATTCACTAATTGCAATAAAATGACAGATCTCATTCTTGAACTACATGAATCAACGTCAAGATCGAAATCGTTGAAAAATTGAAATAAAAGAAAAAAGAGGATGACGTACGTTCCTGTAAATCCATTCTCCAGATAGAGAATCGTCGATGCGAATATGTATACAAAATAAACACATAATATACCAGACATACGGTAAAGTGCGTGTGTACGTAGGTTAGGCACGAAAGTACGAAAGTAGGTACAACGGTGGACGATATCAAACGGCGCTATCGGGGGATCGGGGCGTTCGGGCGATCTCGGCTTCTGCCGATGTCTCACGAAGTGGGCCGAAAGCAAAGCGCGCGGCAGACGGTCTTCGCGCGTCGAGCTATCTGGTTGGCACTCACGTCGAGTCGGGCACTTATATTCGAATTGACGTCGCACGTCTCTCGTTCTTACCTCATTTTATCCTCGTGGTTCATATTAATCATATTTGCGTCAGTTTCGTTGCTAAGTTTTGTGCTCCGTCCGGTTAGAACGCGCTGTTTGAATTATCGGGCAGTTCGTTTTTCAATAAGGAAGTTAGACAGTGCTTTTTTTTGTGATGTGCATGGAATCAACGAGCAACTTCAAGATGACGCTTGCCTGGGTCTGCCTCATCGGCCTGTTGTGTTCGACGGCAGTTAAAGGTGCGACAGAACAATAAATGTACTTTATTTTTATATTATTATCGTTCAGCGTAATTTGATTGTAATTATTCGTCTCTCGGCCATCATAACGAAATCAGTGACGTACGTGTAACGGTTTTTTTTTTCGTGGCAACATTGCGAGATTCTTACGACCATACTTTACAATAATCGATCTATCGAACGGTTCGAATTCTCGCGTTATTAAAATGGCGTACAAAAGATGGGAATGATTCTTGTAAAAATTATCGTGTTCACGTGAAAATTATCGGAAAATACGATGAAACGGAGTAATTTCTACGTCGATGCCACGGTAAAACGTAAGAAATCCACCTGACTTTCGAAATTTAACGTGAGGAAAACACCTAATTGATGGTTAAATATTATGACGAATCAATAGTTCGATATTGTATAACGTTCAGGAAGCTTCTATTGATCAGCGTAATCGATTCTTGTTGAAATCATATTTGATTCAGTTACCAAGACAGATGATTTGGTTTCGTCGCGATGCGGTGAAAATGTGATTAAACGAATTATAACTGATCCTTAATGGTGAATTATTACTGAGAAAATTGCAAAAGTAACCTCTAAACGTACTCGTAACTTCGGTCGATCTAATTGAGCGGCATGGTAATTCGTATTATCACGTAATCATTGTTAAAGTTAAATGATGGTCACCGGGATCACAGTTATTAATAGTAAAGTAAATATGAATGAAAACATTATCGAACTATTGACTATTGAAATATATAGTTTGGAAAGTCGAAAATTATCGTGATTTCTTTCTAAAAAAAGAGTTAANGTTAAACAATGGTCACCGGGATCACAGTCGTATTAATAGTAAAGTAAATATGAATGAAAACATTATCGAACTATTGACTATTGAAATATATAGTTTGGAAAGTCGAAAATTATCGTGATTTCTTTCTAAAAAAAGAGTTAAAAAGAAACAACGCTGTCGTCTTATCCGTAATTTCGACATTTATAATTGATAACATATCTTCGAATTACTTTCTAAAATAAATACGGCGTAAATGCTTTATTTAGGAATAGAGAGAAAAGATTAGGAAATAGAAGATTCCAAGAAATTATTGTATACATATCTGACGAAGAAACGTTTCGTGTAAATTATTATATCGCGATAATGGTATGTTTATCATCGATATTGTTCCACTTTACACATTCGTAATCTTTGTAATAATAATAATATATCGACTTCCTAATCTATTTCAATATTTCTATTATTAATTTTAAAATACGTTTTGCATTATTTTTATCCGTATAATCAGGAACAATGGTACGGTGCTTTACATAATAGATATTTTTTTTGCGTTTTTTGTATTTTTCTCCATTGTGATTCGCGAATCGCTTCGATGCTTTTTCTCAATTTCGTAACCTTGGCGTTCGTTGCTATTTACTTTACACATTCGTTCGTTACTCAATTCCGATCGATGGACAATTACTAGAAATAAAATATTCGTATTGCAAATATCGTCGATAATTTTTTTTTAGTGTTTTCATCAAAGATATACATATTTTACTTCTGGAACATTGTAACATGAAATATTGTCGAAACTATTGAAATTGATTTCGAAACATTTATCGCGAGATATTATTAACAAAGGGGATTTAGATAAGTTTTTCAATCGAAATTTTTATTGCCACAAAGAAGTTCGTTACCCCAGTTAGACATTCCAGAATCAGGATATTTTCCCTCGATGGTTTATAAATTTTATAATGGTCGGATAGTATCTTGTTTGAATTCGATTACCATGCAAAGCAGACTGTCCCTGCCTATTTTTTTCCGCGGTTACCTATATTATTTTTCTCGATGTCGGTATAAAGTAAAACGAAACGGATACTTTCCATCGAAGTGGATATAAAACGCGACCTAGCGTTTGGTATTTATCGATCTAGGGTTATGAATAACGCTCGGTATCAAGCAACACCAGCTTTTGTTGTTCATCGTAACAGAACGACTCGAATAGAGAGTAGAGTGGCTGCTTATTGCTCGAGTTCTCTCAATAGTTCTTGCTTATATAATTCAAGGATATCGTTGTGATTACTTGCGATGTACTTAACGCTCATGAATAATTTCATTGAATAACATTATTATCTCCGCGTTACTTTCCTTTCTTCTCTATTTTTTTCTTTGTTACGAACTTTTGTATAGATTTGAAGCTTGAAATTAAATCAGTTAGTCAATAAAGGTAATAAAACCGGGAAGAAAGGGGCGGAGCGTAGTGAAACTCTTATACTAATTAATGCACTGTTATATCATAATTACTCTCTATAAAGTTTATTACCGGCAAGACGAGGAAACATGGTATGAAAGTTTCGCGTGGCAAACTATTTTGTTTAATAAATCCCGGTCATCACGACGATGACTGGGACGTGTCTTTACCAGGGGAAAAGGTGTTCTAACTTATCACACTCTCGTAGAACAAAAATGATCGAAAATTAACTATGCCTGTTGCGTGATAAATCAAGGTGGAAATTATAATGGTTGAATTACAATCTTGGCCACGTGCATGGTATACGTCGAGGGATACGCCTCGTATACACGGAAAGTTTAAGGTCACATTTACACGAAATACCTTTCCCTCTGTACGACTCTCGAACTTAACTCGTGCTTACCTTGAGCTGTAAAGAAAGGTCGATGCAAATGACGTAATTGAAAATGCTAAAGATAGTTTCCTCGCTCTAACGGTGGTGCTCGTAAACACAACAATCCTGCACAAACATGTCTACTAATTTTATTAGAATTGAAATTTTTTTATAGAATATAGTTTCTTTTATTCTTCGAAAATTAAATTCTTCATATTCCTTCATCCTGCATTGATTTCGCGTTAATAATATATAATCGCGTTAATAATACATAATAATACATTGCAAATTGTTTCATTCGATTGTTATCGCGATTGTTTAACGATCATATCTCGCGAGAAGAATGAATCCCGATTCGGTGAGTCAACGTTGATCGATGGACGGCGAGTCATCGGTCCAAGGATAAGGTCTTCAGCATTTGTCTTTTAAATACGGCACTGAGACGCGTTCGCACGGAATATACTCGCAACTATACTCTGTGCAGAAGAGGGTTTAGATAATCCAGTTTCGTAGCCCACGCATACCAATAGTGGAAATAGTTAATGTTACAGCCTACGGTCAAAGACCCCTATCAATCCTCTGGACAATTCGGATGAAATTACTATGAGTACAGGGAAGAAGATTTTATTTAGGCAATTAATCTTCAAACTTGAACTATAGATCTGTAGATTATTATTCATTAAAATTTAATTCGTATAATAATATAATATTTAATATTTTAATATTCTAATATAATATTATTAACACGTTATAATAATATAATAATTACGAGTATAAAGATTCGTAGTTAAAGTTATAAGATAATGGATAAATCGTGAAAATGATTTCACTGATAAATTTCAAAAAAATTTTATCTCGCAAAAAAATACGATTATTTATCGATGCACCGATAATTGATTCGGTATACGGTGAGAGAAAAATTTAAGATCAAAGTGTTCTAATCTAATTCCACGATAACGGAGAATTTGCCGGTTTAATTTAATATTATACGTGTATAACGATGTGGTATGTTATTACGTGGCAAAATTTATTGCAGAAGAACGTAGGGTATGTCGCGTTCGTAGTAGAATAAATGTCGACCTAATTGCTACGCTCCTGATGAAACTAGAGAGACTCCACGTACCGTACATTCTTCTACGCTTATGACGTATACAATTTCTAACATATAGACAGTCCTCGTGTTATTTGATTTTTTATTTTCCACAGATATTTCATTCCGTTCACGCCGTCTTCCTCTCCTTTATTTTCAAATGGAATTCTAAACGGGAAGCGATAAACTATCTTTACGAGAGATATTCGTTTATTCTTTGATTCTCGTAGTAGATTTCTACGAATATTTTTATCTTTGAAGGTATAATTCTTTATCTCGAAACGACACGCACACACACACACACACAAAAACACACACACACACACACATACACATATTCACCTACAACAAAATTTGATTAAGCAAATAATATAAGATGAAGAACGATAAGCAACAGACACTTGTAGAATTTTCTTAATTCGTGTCAATAGAGGATGGCAAATAACGAAAGATCTGATTGGTGAGTTTTCCATGCTTCGGGACAATGATTCATCTCTCGGACACGTTCGCGGAATCCGGGCTTACGTATTACATTCGTCGTAAGAGCAAGTCATTAAACACTCACCTCGTTTAATTATCACGCATTATTACAATCACGAGTTAGTTATTTCCATCGGCTTAACCGAAAATCCTCGTTTCTTGAACGCTTAATTATCCCTATTTACCGATATTTAAATACAGTTGGAATTATATAACTCGTTTCGAGTAACGCGTAATAATAATAATGGATCACAGATCGTTTCACGATCACGTTGCGCGTTATAGATTGATTTTGCATAATCAACCTCATCGATACTACTCGAGTATCGCGAATCAATCGCGATGCTTGCGTAAAAGCGCGTAACGTTTTCGTCACACAAATACGACCTACTCTAACTACCTACGGTCGTTGACACGGTTGACTCTCTCCTTGGACGAGTCTCTCTCTCTCTCTCTCTCTCTCTCTCTCTCTCTCTCTCTCTCTCTCTCTCTCTTTCTCTCTCTCGGCCGAATTAAACAAAGGACTCGTGGGCCAAAGGCGGCGGTGTTGGAGGGGATCCAACGTCGAAGGGTCAAAGCGGTCGTAAAGGCCAACGGTCAAAATTGTACGGAGAGCCGAGAGTCATTTGGATGCGGAGTGGAAAGAAGGTGAAACGTCCCGTGAAGAAAAGTTACGTGGCAGGTGCGTTCTCCATTCGTACGCATACACGTGCGTTCTATCCAACACACGCACGTAGCTGCGAGTAGAACTGTGTGTGTGTGTGTGTGTGTGTACAGGCCTATGACGACCAACAGGTTCTCTCCGGAACAGGTTTCGGTGCCTATT